TGATACATTAAACAAATAAAAAATGCACTTTATTTTTGAAGAATAATGAAAATAGAATATAATCATTCATTATTATATGCAATTTATTGAAATCGATAACAAAATTCAGCCTAAATTTTTTTTGTATTTCAATCACAAAAATGTCAATTTTAGTCGTCTACATGGTTTTTGTTCTATGAAAGAGCTGTTACAGTGGGCAAAAAAAGCTTTTCAAACGAGACTATTATTATTAGGTAGAGTCCATTGAAAGTAAGCAAAACCTATAATCATTTGTATCATTGTTGATTTCTTTTGATGTTAGGATCATTGCGACCCGCAATTTCACTCATAAAATGTCGTATGAATTTATCCTACACTTTCTTGTATCTTTCTTCTAGGCCTAATCAAATATTGTTTTTGCTATCATGATTGAATTTTTTTCAATTTAAAAAAAAACGAATTAATATCATCAAAAATATTATATTAATTCAAGTCTTTCTTGTATGAAAATTTTTTAATATTATTTCTTTGTTCTAATTTGCTATTTGATGCAAGAATTTGTTATTATCTTATCTTGATGGAAACAAATTAAGTGAACAATTGAAATTAGAATGATACATTAATGCAGAGTTCTAATGCTAAATGCTTTCATTTTCAAGTTACGAACTAATTCATTACAAGAAAGTTTATTCTTTTTGTTTTCAACAGATTTAAAATAATCATGATGAAAATCCATATTTAATAAGTTCTTTTGTCATTTTAAATTGACTTAATTCCCATTTTTCTTTCAAATGTCGTAGAAAATATGAAAAACTTCTAGTAGAGATCAAAATATTTTGTTGAAGATCTCAGGTATCTATAGGAAATTTTGGTATTGATCATCGTTTTATTTCATCAATAAGATAAATATAACCTTGATATTTAAATAATTCCATAATATATTGATGTCGAATATTTTGTTGATTTCGATAACTATGAATAATAAATTCTTCATATGAATCAATAAAAAATGATCAAGATTTTTATGACTTGATGAAGATTTTACAGGTTTTAAAAAAATTGATCCAATTAAATGAAAATAAACTATTTCTTTCTGGTTTATTTTGTTTACCTCTTCTTGGTCATTGAAAAGTGTAACAAGTGATGTCATGGGTCCTAGTTGATGATTCATACAACTTAACTATCGATTTTCTAATTCAAACATTTCTACAGATGATTCAAGTAAACCTTTTTAAAGAAAAATAGAAGATTAGAATAAATTAGAAGAAACAAAACCTTCACGCGCACCTATTCAAAAATTGTTTTCATTATATGTTCAGCAAACCTACTACGAAGAATAAGCTTTAATTCAAACCAAATCTTTTCACCAGAAACATCTATGATTATACTTACTATATTTATTTAATCTAACGGACAATAAGAAATATTTTTGCGCCTTTTAATGTCATAACACATTTCTGAATAGTTTTTAATGCATCAGATGATAAACGACAGAAGAATCTAGAATCGAAAAAATAAATTTGTTTAATTTTATGAAAATATGTTAATTCAACCAAAAATAATGTAAAATTCGAATCGAATTTTTTTGTAATGATCTAATAATATTTCCATTCAAACGAATTCGATTTATATTTAGATCATTAATTTCATTTGTATAATCATATGTAATTCTATGTTCATTCATTGATAAACTATTTATTGATAAGTCCCTTTGTTTGATATCAATAGATCAATTATTAGTAAACTCAATGGATACATTTTTACCATATGACAAATAATTCATCGTTTTTAACTTGTTACTTGAAATGTTCTTTTTTTTTTTTGTTATAACAAAATAAAATCAAAATCTGTAACTCTAATAAGTTATTTCACTTGCTCGTACAATCGTATCAACAACATATGTTAATATTCTAAAATGTTCAGCAGCTGGATAATCATATTCATTAAATAATGAAAAGAGATAGATTAAATGAGATGAAAATGAATGTTAATATTTAGATGGATTGAATTGATAATAATACACTGGTGATGACAGCATTTTCTGAAATTGATAAAAGAAATAAGCAAAAACATATATGTTTTTCTTTTTTTTAAGTAAACTACATACATATCATTTGTCGATATTATCCGTGATAACAGGTTTTCTAAGATGAGCGAAAATTTCTTTATCGATTGATATGAATTTTTCAAACGTTTGTTATTTATATTCGTTTTCACGAGGAAGATCAGAAAACAATTATTATATTGAATGACACGTTACTGAGTAGTTCATTTAGTATAGAGGAAACGATTCGAAATAGCGATCATTTTTAAATAACTTCGAAACGTCTGGTACGTCCCTTACTATTCTCTCTTGGCCATCAAATATATTCGTAAAATGAGAAATAGTAATCAGCCTACTGGCAGCACTGATAGATTATGCTTAGTGTCAGTTCATTCTACCTAATAATGATACAAGTCTCGTTTGAAAAGTATTTTTTTTTCAGCTGGAGAGATTCGATTGTTAGTATTAATAAATGGACAATAGTTGTTGCATGATAAAAATATTCTTTTTTTTTCTAAGGAAATATTGTTATTGTTTTATTCAGATCATAGGAAAGAATAATAATATACTGTTGGTTTTACTAATAAATATTTATTTTATTCAAGTGGAATATGTTAAGCATCATTATGCAGTTGTATTTTATGAAAATGAAATATCTTTTCCGACCTATTGATTCGCTAGTTTTTACTAATCTTCCAAATGGAATCGATATTAATAATGTTGATATAAAGAATAATTATTTTTCGTATGATGAAATCACGATTTGATATGTTAATGTGATGTAATCATTAATAATTCACATGAAAATCGATTTTATCCAGCTATACTTATTCATATTTGTTATGGTATAGTTCACATATATTTAATAATACTTTCAGTGCTTCTTTTTCTTCCTCTTCAAGTCTTTTCTCTTTTATTCATGTTGCTTTCTAAGCAGTTAAGGTTTTTTCTTGATCATTCGCATATATATATAATATAATGACTGTTTGGAAAGTAAAATATCGACATTAATTATCGATCAATTTACAGTAATCAACTCAAAAGCACAAGGCATTTTGAAAATTATTGCATCATCAGGCGTTTTACGATTCTCCTCACTAATTATTTAGGTAAAACGTTCGTTAAATCTAAGGCAAGCATAACAATATCAAAGTCAAAGAACTTAAAAACATCGTTTCTCTAGCATTAAGATATTGAAGATCATGCGCGTTTTCAACTCTGACCTCATCATACTTGCTACAAGTTTAACTAAGTTTCACGCTTGAATGATCAGTAAAGAGTACATTACAAAGTCTGACAGATAAACTAATATTTAGAACATCTTATTATTCTTTTAGTGTTGGACTACTGATAGAAGTAACAAACAATATTCTTACAAATTTAAAACATTTCATAATTCTAGAGAGCATAGTCATTGTATAGATTATCACTTGCATTTATCAATTCCACTTTTAACGAGCTTTCATTTGACATAAAATTTATTGTTTATGCAATTTGAAATCACAGCGCTTTCTACTTAAAACATATTTTAACGTATTCTGTATAATTTAACAAGTATTTAAGCAAGTAATTTGTGATTCAATTAAATCAAGAAAATTTAAAGCAGATATCTATAACTTTTTATTTTTTTTAACTGCAGCGAAAATTTTTGTAGTTGACAATATCAGCCAAGAAAGGCTATCGAAAATGACAGAATTCACTGTTGCAAGCTATTTTCGATTTATCTCGTATAGATGGAAGATGAAAAGAAAAGAATGTATAATGATGTCATCATATAGTAGAAACAATAGTTTGCTAGTTATAAACAGCCTATATGTATACTATACGAAGAACAAAAAACATTCAATGGTCGTGGTATATATGTCACTATGTAATAGTGCCGATGTAATTGCACAATGTCAGTGAATTCCATCATAAAGATAGTCTATACAGAATTTACTTTTGCAGTTTTTCTGCAAAAGTAAATTCTGTCATTTTCGATAGTCTTTCTTGGCTGATATTGTCAATTACAAAAATTTTCGCTGCTGTTAAAAAAAAAAATAAAAAGTTTTATATTTCAAAGTCGTTCATTTACTTATATATATTAGATATCTATAACCTTCAGCATATTTCTCTGGAACAAATATTTTGCTCTTTTCTGTTTGCGTTGAGATTTAAGGTCAATATTTATCCAAGCAGTCATGACTACGATTAAAAAAATATTCGTTAGACGTGTTACAAACGGCACAAAGCTTTTACAATCATTTTTCTCGTCACATAAAAAAGAAAAGTTGACAATACGGCGCTTTTACATCCTCAAGATAACCAAACTGAAAAAGAACACTAAATATTTATAAATTTATATTCCAAATGAAAAGAGCTTTGGTAACTTATTTCTAGTTCATCCAACATAAAGTATGACATGATTCCCACGATAGAGTTCTGATACAAATTTTAGCTCCTATGGAGTTTATCTTGAACATGCCATACATGAGAACAGACTATAAAGTTTTGTGAATGATAAATAGAATGAGTTAATTATAAACATCGTGATAGTTTTTATATTACGTCGAGCGCATAAATTAAATTAAATTAGAACTTTTTAACAGAAGTATTTATGACACCTCTAAACTACAATGATTTGAATGAAATACACTTCCTATTATAGGTATGACCATTTGCGACGGAATTTAATTCAGTACATACGACTGTAAAATTCTTTTTTTTCTTTTCTATTGTACAGAGTACACAAAAAAGTAATTGAAGAATAAGAGTCACTTCAAAATGGGTAGATTGTATATCTTGTATAATTCAAAAATCTTTGACAAACATGGGCGCAACACGAGAAAAATCTCTTTTATAGAGAGTAAGAAAAAATAAATTGGCTTGTTTGACTTTTTTCAGTCTAGGAACTGTTTTATCTTTCTTTTTGTTTTAGTTTTTCGATTTTAACTGATTTAGTATTTGCAAGAAATAACAGTAATCTTATACACATATTATGCATTACGAACCATCAACTAATGATAAGAAATTTAATATTGCTATCTCTGATGTTACATGTCAATATTCACCAATGTCTGAGTTGGCTGAAATCAATCGTACACGGATAACTCTTCTTCGTTTAATTTTTATGCAATTTGTAAGTTATTTTTAGAGAAATGATCAAATAATTTTGGGTTCCATAAAAAAAAGAAAAAAGTCTTCAACCAATTCAATACTTTTCTGACAAGGAAATCTTGTCAGATGCTAAAAATGTTTTTATTTGAGTTTTCTCTATAAGTAGACGATGCATAGATTAGAGAAATCCTAAGAGAATATAGACACAAGTTGTGATTGGACTGAAATACCAACATTTTACTACTATTTTCGTGCAAGATTCCACTTTTGTGGTAGAATCAAAGTTTCGAATTTAAATCTGAAACTTTGCTCGTATTGAGACTTCAATCAGGTAAGCGTGCCTGCAAAGTTTCAGAACTTTCAAACAAATCATCTATGAGATATGAATTTTTCAAAATACTCATACATAACAGGATATCTATAAAAAAAAAGTGTCTTTACGTTAACATACTGGTCCATTGGATATAATTGTGCAGGAAATAATAGTAAAATGTCAATATCTGAATCAAATCGCAATAGCACTCATATCCACTTAAACTCTCTCTAGTCCATCGATGCCCTACTTGTAGACTAAAGTTTAACTCAAAATCTTTTTTTGGCACCTGAGAAGATTCACTTCATGTCTATTTCTTTTAGTTGAATTTTATGTGAAATAAATAAAATCTTCTGATATCTACTTGGATTAAATTGTTTTGAAATTCTATTGCTGATACTTTCAGGTTCTTTCTATTATATGCATTATCGGTGTTATTTATTCATACGCATTTGGTTATATATCAGGATTTGAATCGTACAATATTGTTCTTCAATTCTTGCCACTTTTATCTTTCATCTGTTTTTGTTTTGGTTTAATTGTTGCCGATCGATATCATGTGAAAGGTTTACGTCTAGTATGTTTTATTTATTTTATTCTTATCAATTAATTGTACTTAGTTATTGACATAGTTTGCAAATCTAGTTATGATTGATTTGATATTAACTTATTTAAGTATACTAATTATTATCATAATACCAATATGTTTGAAAAAATATGCAATTGGTATTATTCCAGCAATTATTGTTGTGATGAGTTATCTGATGATATTCAGCATTGTTTCATTTGTTCCGGTAAGTATCATTTTTATGTGAAAACGTTTTTTAGATGTAATTATCTTTGTTTTTTAGGGGTACACTATTCGGTTAGCTTATAAATTATCAAATTTACTAAATGATAACAAACATTGAACAATCAAATAAATCAAGCTGTTCGTCTAATTTATAACTATGAGTTTTTTTCTTGTTTTTCCGGCAAAGTTTTCTCTCGCAAATAAAATATACTCGTATTCTAGATGGGTGTTCTTTATAGCTCTTCAATAAAAATTCTTTTCACAGTGATTTAGTGTATATCCTTTGCTTGATATAATATACTAATAATAAAATTTTACAACAATAACATTGCTTATTTTGAGAAAAATAATGCAATTGTGTTCAAAATAGATAATACACGTAATTGATTGCCTTGTTTTTCTGATATTTCGAGATGGTTTCAACAGATTGAGTTGTATCTTTTGTCAAAATGTAACCTCATTTTTGTAGTTGATATGGTCAAGATATCAGTTCTCTATGTCATGTATCTTTTCTGATAGACTAGAAATACTAAAACTGATGTGCTGTGATTATGCTCAAAATTGATCAAATATCACACGCAAAAATTTGAGGACATATTAAAAATCTCATATTTTATCGTTTGAATCGAGAAATTGCATTTTTTTAATCATGCTTTGAATAACAAGTAACCTGAAAATTCTTTCAAGCACTTTTCAAATATGTTATTCACTAAAATTTGCATTATGCAAATCATGCTATGTCTCAAATAAAACGTGTTGACTAAATCGGAAGTAACTCAGGTAATCGTAGTATTTATGAGAACGCGCAAATGTAGTCGCGTCTCAAACACTTGTATTGTTTCGAAAATCAATCTACAATGCGAATTTTGTTGATATCCATCTTCTTGCTCTTCGAGTTTGCTGATAGACTTGCATACGGATATGATCTTAATGTCGATTTGGCTCGTGGATTGAGTGGAAGGCTTTTGACAAACGCTAATACGCAAACTAGTGATAGTTTGCCTTTTAGCGAGTATCCTGAGGACTGTGCAGCCATCTATTTGAATAAGGATAGTTCACATACTAAACCATCTCAAAGTGGTGTCTATGAAATTTGGCCTAGACAAGGTGTTCGACATGTTTTTTATAAACTTTTCATAAATAATCTGTGTTATTATAAATAGGAAAACCGATCAAAGTGTTGTGCGACATGGATATTGATGGTGGTGGATGGACTGTGTTCCAAAAACGAGGTGACTGGAAACCTCAAGAAAGTTTTTATAGAACATGGCTCGAGTATAAACGAGGTTTTGGCGACCTACAACGACAATTTTGGTTAGGAAATGATCGTTTATCAATTTTGACAAATCAAGATTCATATCAGTTGCGAGTTGATCTCGAGGATTTCGATGGACAAAAGAGATTTGCCGAATACAATTCTATTCGAATATCGAATGAAGCTGACAAATATCGACTGATACTCGGATCTTATGTTACGGGCGACGCGGGGGACTCATTAAGTAATCATAATAACATGCAGTTTTCCACTAAGGATCAAGATAATGATCCTTCCACTGGATCATGTGCACAACTCTATAATGGGGCTTGGTGGTATAAGGAGTGCCATAGTTCTAACTTGAATGGAGAATATTTGCGTGGAAATCATCCAACAATATATGCTGCAGGCGTCAATTGGTTATCATTTAGAGGTTACAACTACTCGTTAAAAAGTACAGAAATGAAAATTCGCCCTACTTGGTACAAGCCTTGATGCTTTTTTTTTATTTAGCCTAGAAATAAAAGATTATTTTTTATATAGGATTCGAGATCAAATAAAAAAACTATTCGACACCTGTCTAGAGAGAAAACATCAAAATATGGCAAGATATTTGAAGATTTTGACCATTTCAAGCCCATGACATCAACAAAAAATAGGTTTGCTTTCACGAGCATGTGTAGATAGAATACGGAAATGGTTGTAAATGACAAGAGGATGTAGATAGATGTGTAGGTGAGGTTGGTTTTGGGCGCAGATCTGCCTATGGTTATGCAGTGTAGGAATCTGCATAGGTGTGTTGAGTGTTCTTTGAACTGTAGATGAGTCTCTGTGTATGCAGAAGCCACCTAACCACACTCTTTGTTTCTCCTCTGATCTGAGTCAAAACTTTCGGTGAATCCTTCCCTTATACAATGCTTCCTTCACGAACTGAGTTGAGTGTTTTCGTGACGCTCTCAATGGCAAGACAACTAGATGAGTTAATGGAGAGTGCATGAGACAATAGAAATATCTAAAGATATCATCTGATGAGAATAGCATTTCCCACTAGTCGAAAGTTTATTTCCAATTAGACGAGAATAGATATATATATATATATATATATATATACAAAAGAATAAGCATTCAGGGACGGATATTTATATAGCTTGCAGAAAACATTCGAAACGCGTTGCTCCTAGTCATTATCAGTTATTGTTATAGTATTGTTTTTGTAGTATTATACTACAAATAAAACTTCAAACTATGAAAAACTTATTTTTCTTACTACTTTCGAGTATTTTATTTCATTGCTCAGATACTCATCTTCTTTCATTGCCTAGTTCTTCGGTTCTTTTCCATTGGCCTTCATTTATTTATTTCTAGAAACTCTTAAATCCATTTACTTATTTCTTGCGCAATTCTCTTTCATTTATTCAATATTTATTCATTCTTTATATTAAAATTTGAAAAAAATTATATTAAATTAAGAACTAAAGAAATCTATTTATTATTGGCTATCTTTTCTTGTGTATTATTGGTGTTGCTTATTTTTTGTTAATTCGTGTAATTTAACTATCTATATCGACCCAAAATCTATTGGAAGATTTTGTTTTAAGTATAACACTCTTTGAAAGCTGAGTTGATATGAGTGCTTATCGTCAATGGTACAGTCAGTATTTATATATAAAATTTATCTATAAATGTTGAGTAATTGTTCAACTGGATTCATCGCAAGTCGACCTAGGTAACTTTTGTCTTTCAAAATTTTTCGAACGACCATTGAGATGCAGTTGTTGTCATTCAAACATTTTTTTAAACAGTCTGAACTCATACAAATAATAAGAGCAGAACACAAACTACATTCTGATAGCTATAACTTTTTATGAACCAGTTCTCTATTACGTGATGTGCCCATTTTATGATAGCTATTAGGCGATATTCATGTGAACTCTTTCTCATATACCTATAATGAGTGTGACTTTTATTTATTTCTATGTTAGAAAATGTATCCTGAAAAATCAAAAGTCTTTTTTTTGAAATTTGAAATAATCTACAACCATATGCAACTTTTCACATTTTGCCGACTATGATATATGGAAAAACAATGCTCATTATAGGAATAAGAAACAGTTCACATAGATATCGCTTAAGATCTATCATAAAATAGGCGTATAACCTCATAGACCATTTATTTTTACAAAAGTTATAGCTATCATAATGTAACTCGTGTTCTGCTCTGTTTATTTATAAGAGCTGAGACTTTTAACAAAAAATGTATGGAGGACGACAACTTCATGTGGATGGTCTTTCGAAACATTTTGATCGACAAAAGTTGACTTATTCGACTTGTCATGGGTCTAGTTGAATAATTACTCTACATTCATAAATGAATTTTTCTGTAGATATAATATACATACTGACTAAACTTTTAACGATAACCACTCATAATAACACAGCTTTCTGAGCTATACTGAATACGAAATAGTCCAAAACATATTGCTCATTATTGTATACATTTTAACAAATTCCCGAACAAAAAACAAGGAAACTTCTTACATGAAATTGCGCCATCTATGTCGAATTTGGAAAAATTCATTGTCGTAATAATTAAAAATTACGTTTAAAAGTCATTTATGCAATCACTTGTAAACCTAAATTTTAATTTCAGCAACAAATATATTACACTAGCGATTGAATATCATGTCCATCAATACAATTTTTTTCCTTTCTTGTCATGCTTTTTTTCAATTCATTCATTCATTTTCTTTGATTCAATGAAAAAGAACACATTGAATAAAAATTTTATCACTCATAGATAAAACTTCAATATGCGATCAAAACTTTTTTCAATGATTTTATAAGTATAACAGCAAACAGATGTCCATCTATTATAACTTTTCCTAGAATCTGTACATGAACTTTTACTATATTCGAACCAAAGAATAGAAAATCACATAAAATGTCTCGTGCTGCTTTTCTCATATTTATTACTACTGTTCTCCCAAGTGCAATTTATACAATAATATATCGACCAGTTGTTCTTATGCATGGTATCGTTGCACCTGCTTCTGATATGAATGAAATCGCTGATTGGCTTCGAACATCTTTTTCTGGAATTTATGTTGTGTCAATTGAAATAGGAAATGGTTTTGAAGATTCATTTTTATGGTCATTAGATAAACAAGTCGAACATTTTTGTACTACAATTCGTAGTGATGTTCATCTTCAACAAGGTTTTAATATGCTTGGATTTTCTCAAGGAAGTCTTATTGTACGAGGTGCTGTTGAACGATGTTCATTTCCTGTTTATAATTTAATAACATTAAGTGGTCTTCATCAAGGAGTATTCGGTATACCTTATATTCTAAAATTTCCAACTCGATTTCGTCAATTAATAACAAAATATGCATATGAAAAATTAATTCAAGATCGAATCAGTATTGCAAATTATTGGCGTGATCCAACACAATTAAATAAATATATATCTCAGTGTCATTTTCTTCCTGATATAAATAATGAACGTGAAACACTTAATGAAACATATCGTATAAATATGTTAAAATTAAATGCATTTGTTATGACATATTCAGATATTGATGAAATTGTAACACCAAGAGAATCAGGTTGGTTTCTTGGTTATGCTTCACAAACATTAAAAGTTGAAACATGGAATAATTCAAGACAATTTACTGAAAATCTTATTGGTATGCGAACATTATGGGAACAAGGAAAATTGCATATATTTATCTCTCATACACGCCATCAAGATACTCCACATGCATCAAATAGAGATTTTTTTATGAAAAATATTTTTCAATTTTTTAATAATACATTTGCATATTCTTTTACATCTTAGAAAAATTTTATACATTTCTTAAATACGAAATATATTTAAAAACAAATAAATATGTTAACATTTATTTAAGTTTTCCAAGCGCTAAACGATAATAACGACCATGAAGAGCAAGTAATTCTTCGTGAGTTCCAGTTTCAACTATAACTCCATTATGTAAAACACAGATCATATCTGCATTTTGAATTGTTGATAAACGATGTGCTATTGTAATTGATGTTCGATCTTTTTGAGCTTGATCTAATGCTTCTTGAACTACCTTTTCATTTTCACTATCCAATGCACTTGTTGCTAAATTATTATATATATATATATTATATAATAATAATTGATTGTTTCAATTATCCTACCTTCATCAAATAACAATATCTTGGGATTTCGAATTAATGCTCGAGCAATTGCTAAAAAATAATATAAATTAGTTTTCTTCTTATAAACTCTTTTCAATATGCTTTTTTTTTTTTACCAATTCGTTGTTTTTCTCCACCTGATAATTGAGTTCCTTTTGCACCACAATTTGTATCATATCCCTGAGAACAAGATATTTTTGTTTGTTTTGTAGAAAGAAAAACTTAATTCTATAACTTACATTTGGAAGTTTTTGAATAAAATCATGTATATTAGCATTTTTAGCTGCTTCAATGATTTCTTCCATAGGAATATTACTTCGACTATTATCACCATAAGCAATATTTTCTTTTATTGACATATCAAATAAAACTGGTTCTTGTGAAACAATACCAACTATAAAATATTCATGTTAAATAGAAAAAAAAAGGAAGAAGAAGAATGACATGTATGACATACTTTGTGATCGATACCATTGAAGATTAAGACTTCGAATATCTTTTGAATCAATTAACTATAAAAAGAAAATAAAAGAGTGCACATATGAAAAGAAATGAACTAACCAATTGACCAACATTTGCATCATAGAAACGTTCGATTAACTGAATAGTTGTTGATTTTCCACAACCGGATGTACCTACATAGATAAATAGATTTATTGAAATTAAAGATATTATAAAGATAAAAAAAAAACAAAGCTGATGTTTACCAACGAGTGCAACTTGTTGACCTATGAAAAGAAAAATTCATATGAATGTTTGAGTGAATGAAAAGATGACATACCAGCCCGAATTTTAAGTGAAAAATTACGAAGAATAACTGATTCAGGTCTGTTTGGATAAATGAAATGAACATTAACAAATTCCAAATTTCCATCAAAGTTTGGCTAAAATAAAAAGAAAAAGAAAAATATCGATATCATCGAAATTTGTTGATATTGACTCACTATTTCATCACCATCAGATGAATTATTATCAATAGATGGTGTTCGATTCAATAGTTCTAAAATTTTGTCAGCAGCTTGAATAGCTTTGCTATAATCTGGAGCCCTAATGAATTAAGTAGAAAAAAAAAACAAGTTTATATATGATTTTCGTCTAATCATTTCGAATATTTACAAAGATGCTGTTTGTCCAACACTTTGTGCAGCAAATATAATACAATTAAAACACCTAGAATAAAACAAAAATTATCACTATTCTAGAGATAATTTTATTCTTACAATAAAAGAGATTCAAATGTGAGTTCATTCTTCTGTACTAAATAAGCACCTAATCTGAACAATGCTGCTAAACTAAAATACATAACTGAGTTTGATAATGAAAAGAATAAACCAAAGAGAATTGCTCGTTTTATAGATGATCTATAATACAAATATTATAATTGATTCTCAATTAAATTTATAAAAGAATATATAATACTGATAAGGTATTTCAAGAAGTAAACAATATTGTTCGTAAAAATAATCTTCTTTAGTTAATTGTACAACTGTTCGAATATTTTGTATAGATTCTACTGTTACCTAGAGAATATATATATATATAAATTATATACTAGTCATGATCTAAATAATTATCTAACCTTGCCAGCATTTTCCATTGATTTTTTATCTTTACTAGCAAATCCTGTCATTAAATAATTTTGTAAAAAACCTCCAGCAATCATAAATGGAACAAAGGCAAGAACAAGTAATGTCAATTGCCAAGCAAATGCAAAACTAATTAGAATACCAGTACCAAGTGCAGCTATATTTTGTAACATTACTCCAATACGAATACCACTTGCTCCTTGTACAGCAGATGCTTCTGTGGCTAAACGTGTACATAATGCTCCTGTATTGTTATCTGGATTATCAAAATAAGCAATTTCTTGACGTAAAATAGTACGAAATGTTTTAGATCGTAGTCTTTTCGTTAGTGCTTCACCTGAACAAGCAAATAAAAAACTCTAAATAAAAGATAAAGAACAAAAAAACATATTTTGAATCATTAAAATAGAAGAACGTACTTGAATAAACATCGTAATTAATGTTAGAACACCTAAACCAATAAACACAAGTATATAGACTAGAACTCGATGTTTTTGAACGTCTTCATCACATTCTTGAAAGACCTTGTTAATAAAATGAATATTTTAATATAAAGATTAGAATAACATGAAAAAAAAAAGTAAAACCTACCGCAGTTAACTTGCTTAGAATAACACCAAATACTGGTTGAATACCACCATTACATATACATGCGATACATCCAAATATTATTAATATCCATTCTGGTTTGTTCATAATTAATATTTGTAAAGCAGTATTAGGCTTTTTTTCCTAAGAAATCATATTGATTAAAATAAAACTAATTTTCAATTTTACCTTTTTCTTTTTTACTTCATTATCTTCTTCTCCAACTTCCTCTTCATCTGTTAATGAACTCTTTTTATAACTATTTAACCTATTCATAACTGATGCTACACTAGCAACAGTTGAACGACGTTTGCTTTCGACACTTAATTGAAATTCTACAATTTGACTTGGTGCCAATGATTCGCTACGTTCGAATCGTTCAAGAGCTAATTGTTCTTCTTCTTCAGCTTGACGTAAATTTTGTTGTTCAACAAGAGCAAAATAAGTTCCACGAGCATGCATCAATGATTGATGATCACCTTCTTCTACGACGTTACCTTTATGCATTACAATAATTTTATCAGCATTACGAATTGTCGATAGACGATGTGCAATCACTAATGTTGTACGACCTAATAATAACAATGAACAATATATCATTATGAAAATATTTCAATTGAACTTCTAGTCTACCTTCAGCAGCACGATCCAAAGCGTCTTGAACGATTTTTTCACTTTCATTATCAAGTGCACTTGTAGCTATTATAAAGAAGACCGAAAAATATAAATATGAAAAGAAAAATATATGAATGTTTACCTTCATCAAGAAGTAAAATCTTTGGATCTCGAATCAATGCTCGAGCAATGGCTATGAACACGTTCATAAAAGAAAAGATAAACAACATTCTCATACATATTTTTATTGCAGGCTTACCAATTCTTTGTTTTTGTCCACCTGAGAGTGTAGCTCCACGTTCACCTACTCGAGTTTCATATTTCTACAAATACACACAGAAACAATAGAATTGATAAAGCAAAAAAATAAATAAATAAATAATAAGAAAAGAATTCATATTATTCATGTATCACTTACATCAGGTAAAGTCATAATAAAATCATGTGCATTAGCCATTTTTGCTGCTGTATGAACTTCTTCATCAGTTGCTGTATCTCTTCCAAATAAAATATTTTCTCGAATAGTTGCTTGAAATAGAATTGGCTCTTGACTAACAACACCAATATGTTGTCTTAACCATTTTAAATTATATTCAGTAACTTGATGGCCATCAATATGAACAGAACCTGAGTCAGTATCATAGAACCGTTGTAATAATTGTACACATGTTGATTTTCCTGAACCAGATGATCCAACAAGAGCAATCGTTTGACCATGTTTGACATCAAATGAAATACCATTAAGAATTTTAACACCAGGTCGTGATGGATAAGAAAAATGAACATTTGAAAAATCAATATCACCAATAAGATCATCTTTTTTCAGACCAGTTTCTGAATCACTATTGATTTCAGATGGCTATAAAATGAATAGGTTACGAATAAAATATTTTTATCTGAATGATATTCAATTATCTACTTACTGCATCAATAACTTCCCATACGATGTAAGCAGCAGCTCGAGCTTGAGCTAAAGCTTGAAAATGTGGACTAGCTTGACCCAAATTAAAAACAGCAATGATAATTGAAAAGAATACCTACAAATTATAATTTTTTATTTAAAAGACAATGATGAAAATGACTGTAAAAGCTTTTTTATGGGGAAATATCTAAAGATCATTTATCTCAATGACAACAATACGATATTGATCTATATTTTTTTAAACAAGTATCCAGAAAGCTTTTCGAAATATGCGAAAAAAATTATCAAATTTATGTGAGTAAAATTAACTTACAATGAGAATAGTTCCAATATCATATCTTTCTTCTCGAATTAGTTTTGCTCCATACCAAAATGCTATTGTCAATATATACATAATATAAAAAATAAGTTAATGATTAGTATAAACTACATACCTAATGCATAGGAACAAAAGATTATACACCAGACAGATCCCAATGTTACACCATTGATTACACCTTTCTTTATACCATTTCTTTTAGCTTCATCAAGATGCTGCTCATATCTATCAGAAGCAAATATATTATTGTAAAAAGAAAACAGAACCATGATGAAATGATTTATTATTGAAATCTAACCTTTTCTCTTCTCGTTCTTGTCCATTATAAGATAGCACTGTACGAATTGAACTAAAGACTTCTTCAGCTATTGCTCCTGCTTTACCATAAGCTTTTAATTCCAATGCTGTCAAACCGGAAGCAAGCTATCAATAGATATCATAATGATCTATTTTGATTTTTTTTCTTTCGAATATAAAGAATTTACTTTGGAAAAAAGCATAGCTGACATAAATAGTAATGGAGCCATAGATAATACAACTAATGATAGTTTCCATCCTTTAACAAAACCTATATAATAAATATATTAAGAATAACAACTTTCTATTCTTATAAAAAGCTTGCC